GTGCTCTTCCGATCTATATATTATTGTATATACATATATGTAATACATATACATGGGTTAGTATCCCTGCAAGTTCAGATGGGTAGGCATTTGTGACGCCTTGTGTATGTACATACATTTCATTAAATAAACACTAAATACCAAAAGAAACAAATTAAAATCTAACATTGTTAGCTTGTGTAGCTATCTTCGTAAAATAAAATTATCAAATCAAGTCAAAATCAACATTTACTTTAAATATTATATATTAAATATCAACTCATTAAGCTTATTGCTTATTAAGAGGATCCTAAAGTTGTTTATTTTACCGACCGAACACTATTATTTTTCAGCCTTTTTCTAATTGGCTTTACAAATTTAAAATTTTTCCGCAATTAAAGAAGCACTAATTTATATTAAATCGATCGACTTTATGTCAAGAATAAAAAAATTCTTTTAATTAAGATATTTTTTACCTACTCTTAGTCTAATATGACATTTAGAACTGTTAACTTGTGCCATTATTTGCTTAATATAAAAATTCTGTAGTGCATTTATATCAAATGGGAACGGTTTTGAACGCGGATTACACGATAATACAATGTTGTGTTCTTAGAATTAGGATTAGATATCTAATAAAAAAGATTAGTATGCCTGAAAATTTGTGCGCATATGTGCATATGATATTGATATGATAGTAATATAAACACATCACTACACACTACTACATCAATATCGCACGCATACATATGCATAAAGCGTCGGTAAAATAATGACGTTTTGGAGTTCGATGGTGGAATAATGGTCGAACTTCAAAATATCGCTGTTTTACTGACGATTTATGCATATGTATGTGTGCGATATTAATATAGTATTGGTGTAGTATTGATGTAAAGCGTAGATGTTTGTCTGATATGTTGATATTTACTACTATATCGATATTGCATGCATACGTACAATGATATTTTACAAATCATCCGTTTTATTATACTAAAGCATCTCATCAGTAAAGCACAAGTACTATTCTTTCATGTAATCCCCACACCGGCTACTACTTCTCACTGCCCTCTTTTATCTCTGTTTTTTCCTTTTCTCTTTTTTCTTTTTTGCTTCTTCCATATTTTTTCATTATTTTCAGTCCTTCATCTTCTTTTATGAAATTTTCAATTCTTTCTTAATAATAATAAAAAAGAGCAGCTCGTATTTTTGCAAGCAAATAGAACAAAAACCAGGTCAATTAAACGAGCAGTTTTTAGATCACAATTTAAAATATAATTTATTCAATGGATTAATTACATTATTCCTAAATTCTTAATCTTGAGACATTTCGAACTTTACGTAAATAAAAAGCACATCTAGTCGACCGAAGTATACAGTTAATCTTATATAGTTAATACAGTTAATTTTCAATTCTTGTTTCATTTTTAGTCCCTGTACTCTCTCATAATGTATTGTCATATTTTCTCTCTCTCCACATGTTCCACGTGTCTTTTCTTTCTTTCTAATATTGTTTTTCTTTCATTTTATTCCCGCATGTATATCTACTATAAGACTTTATACTTCTGTTCTTTTTCTTCTTTCCTTGCAAATATGTATGCAGACACCTTTTCCGTCCTATCTTTGTATGTAATATTATATTTTGATCTTCCTGTCTTTCTGTGCCTTTCCTCCTTTTGTTTTTCTTTATATTTCTTCATTATCTCTTTCAACCGCTTTTTTATCCGAATTTCTTCTCTTCTTTTTAATTCTTATCCATTTATCTCTAACTTTTCTTTCATTTCTCTCCTCTTTTTTTCAATTTATTCTCCTCATCCATTCTCTTTTTTTTTTTCCATTTCTTTTATACATAAAATGAATTTTGTTACTAACTTTTTTTTCGTCATCTCTTTGATATTTCCTTGTATTTTGTCGCTCTTTTCATAGCTTCCATTATCGAAATTATTTTACAGGTATTTTTTATTTTAGAAAAAATGTTTTAAACAATATTTTCACAATTTTAGTCTGGAAATGCAATAATTTTTTATTACATTTTTTATTAATTTATCGATATATTTTTTCTTAATATATGTATACCTAGTAGTTTTTATTTAGTTTTCGAGAAATCTTCATGCATTATATAAAATGGGACACCCTGTATATATATATATATATATGTTTGTAATAATGTATGTTGACAGGTTTATGTTCTAGTATGGATGTTATTGTACCAACCAAATGGGCAATGCCGTTTTGGCTTGCATTTTTAATGCAATGTACAAAAGTAGGTGCCCTTCAAGAATCAAAATCGATAGCTTTTGAAAGTTTGAATCCAAATACGGCCGATATCAATGATCCTGACAGTCCTGCATACATGAGAGAAGCGTTGATTATAAAGGAGCAATTGACCAAAAAGTATTTCCGCTATCCACCAAATAGAAGAGTTAATTTTGTCAAACTTGGAATTCGTAGCCCTTTCTTTTGCGATTGGAAAAATTTGATGGAAAATTGGTCGGGCAACGAAGATTTTTATGTTTTAAGGAATCGTGAACTCTTAACACTTTTAGAAGCGGGTATTTCTGCTGCCAAAAATAAAAATGCAAAATTACTTGCCCAAAACAAACAATTCAATTTTCCAGATTTAGATAATTATAAAAATTGCCTGATACGTATTCAGATATCTATGATGGGAAAAGGTTCGCCGAAGAAATTTGCCATCATATGCATGCCGACATTCGAAGATTTGAACCATTTTGAAAATAACAAGAAATGGTTTGGACCTATAGAAAAATGTCATAATGATCCGAACGAAAATATTCGTAAAGGATTACGAAAGAATCATTTAATACTATTAAAACGACTAAGACGTCAAAGAGTTCGACGGAATCAAGCATTGAAAGATAATGCGTTAAAATTACTGAAAGAATCTACCGACAAATTTAACGAAAGCAAACGTATAACTATTTCATCACATCGTAAAATTATATCTGATCAATTGATAAAAATATCTGAATTGTATCTCCCAAAATGTACAGAAGTTCGCTATTCTTGCGATAGAGAAGTTATGGGATATATAGTACTAGGAGATTTTTCGTTCAGTCAAGCAAAGGGTATTGGCATCGGATATATTACATTACCGTCACTACTCGGAATAATTAACAAAAAATCTAACATTGTTCTTATTAGAAATACTCAAACACGACAATACAGATTAGCAGAATTAAATATATTAGGTGTTTGATATAATGTATATTGTATATTTTATATACTTTGTACATACAACGTGTGAAACGTGATACGTGCGTATTTTTTAAATGATTTATATGTTAATTATTTTATCTTTTATATTTGAATGAAATATATTATATATAAAGAAGAGATTTTTTATTTTTATTTATTATCTTATACAAATTAATAATTACAACTGGTCGATTTATCTTGTATAATCAATTTTATTTAACTCATTATATTTCACAGTATTAAAGTATTATAATAGATACAATTGATCTACAAAAAATGTATAAAATACTTAAAATATCGCATAAAAAGGTATAGTGCAAAAAGGAGGTAGCTCTTATCATTAATAATGATAAATAAAAGGTATCAATAAATGTACGACAGGTAGTTCCGTTTCGATGAGATCTAAAAAAAAAATACGTCGATTAATCTTAAGATATACAGTGTGTTTGTTTCCTCTCAATGTTGATTTCAAATAATTTATATTTTTACAGTTTTATATATATCTATTAGAGTTGGGAAACGTTACCTTTAAAAAATAACACTTTAATGTTACCATTATTTTTTGTAAAAAGTAACTTGTTACCGTCACTCGTTAATGATTTTAAAAAGTAACGCGTTACCGTTACTGAAAAAATAACGATTTATTACTTTTTTGTAATATTAAAATAAGTTTAATTAGATAATTATGATTTGAATGAGTTATAAATTAAATAACTTATAATAAATTATATGTTTAATTAGATTTTAAATTTATATTACATGATAATCATTATTAAATGTAATAATAACTATTAAAACTTAAAACTTTCTAAGCTAATTTGTATATAAAGCAAATTTTTTTTATTATTTAAAAAAAAACAGATTAAATTTACTGTTTTTAAACATTAATGTCATTATTAAAAATTCCAATATTTCCTGTTAATACTGAAAATCTATAGTACATATGTAATGTGAATTATAGATTTTCAATACTGGTAGTGACTATAGGAATACAGCTTAAGAATACAAAATATTATAGAATATAAAATATTTTTCAAAAAGTAAATTAAAAATATTGTAAAATTTGAAAATAAAAGTATAAAAAAAGTAATGATAAAAGTAAAATAAAATTTCGTTACTATTACTGTAAAATTGTAATGACATTATTACTGTTACAGATAGAAAAAAAGTAACTAAAATGGTAACGGTTACAAGTAACGCATTACTTCCAACCCTAACACACACAAATTAAGCATTTTTGAGTGATATAAACTGAAAAATTTAGCGCAACAAAAAACGAGTTTTTTTATAATATATATCAAACTTACTTATAATGTATCGAAGTCAGTCAATTTACCAATAGCCGTAACCTGGTCCGTAACTGTGGTAATGATGGTAATGGGGGTAATTATTATACTGGGGATAGCTGTGGTAATGGTAGTGATAATCGGGAGAGCTATGATAATGAGGATATCCGTATCCGCCACCAAAGCTGAAAAAAGATTCCGAGATTTAATCGTCTTTGACACTTTCATCCTAATATTTTTAGTGAATTTTCGGCATACTTTGACAAACTTGTTTGATTAGCATCACAACAATTGAACTAATAACAATAATGGATTTTCGATAAATTCCAACAATAAAAATGCGTGAAATTTCTGTATGCATCAATTAATATCAATTTAGTTCATACATAAACAAATTAACCGAATATTTAAGAGTTGATAAGTAAATTAATAACAATTGACAAAATGTTTACAAGTCTAAGTAATGAGTGTAAACTTCTTTCTTACGTCGAAATAAATTATTTATTAATTTTAATTAATTTCTTGTGTGCTACAACATTTGTGTTTCCCTGATAGAAAAATCATAATTTATATTTTAAAAAATTTTATATATTTTAAATTTATATTGATTTCTGATTACCTTAAACTTTTTTAACTTATTCTTCAAATTTTAAGTTTTCTTCGGAAATATAGAATAAAAAATCTTAGAATCTTTCAGAATCTACATGTATATATAGAATTGTGATCATATGCGTAAAGAAAATTATTCAATCATATTTCTATTACATGTATAAAGGATTTTGAAGTGTTTTAATTCGTATAAAAAATTTGAGAAAGTTCTAAAAAATTATAAAATTATACAGGAATTCTGAAAATTCTGAAATTTATATAGAAATTCTGAAAAATTATATACAGAACTGTAAAAAAATGTTTGCCAGGGTCGACAGTATAAATTGATAAAATATATTTTGTGCGTGCACATTGTGTATATGTGTGCGAAAACTATTATGCGTTAGGAAACATATACATATATATAATTTAGTTTGTATCTTACATTTTTGACGAAAATAGACCTCGTGATTCTAATAAAATATTAGCCGTTTTTTTTAGCAGAGAGTATCGTAGCAGATTGCATCAATCGCGATCGTATAAAAAAAAATCAAACTGAATTTGTTATTTTATAATTATTAAATGAAATATATCATTTAAATAATAATTATAAAATGATAAATTTTGCTTGGTTTTTTAAATTAATCTGCCATAATATTGCGTTAGTAGATTCTATTTCTGCTGTCATATACATATATTCTACTGATTCAATTTGTAAGGGCCTATCCAAACAAACTTGCATAACTGTATAATCATATGCATAAAGAAAATTATCCAATCGCATTTTTATTACAAGAACGAACGTAAAATGTGATTGAATAATTTTCTTTATATACATTATATAGAATATAGATTATGCAGTTATGCAAGTTTATCTAGAGGCTCTTACAAATGATTTGCAGCATTTGTTTTCGAAAAATTTGACTATCTGGGATAATTGATGAAAATTTATAGCTGTCTATTGTCCACTAGTTGATAAAGGAACATTTTTGTTAGATATATTTTATTAATTTGTACCATCAAACGCGCAGTATGCGAAGTAATCTATCTCGACATATAACTCGAAAAAAAAGAAAAAAATTCGCTCGATTTCTCGCATCTTCATCACAATTTAACGTAGCTATAGCGAGAAAGCAAGTTTTACTACTTGCTACTTAAATTGCTACTTGATTTGCATAAATCTGATGCAAAGAATTTGTCTTCTTGCCCTTCAGATATTTTCTTTAGACAGAATCTCTTTAAATATAGACTCACTATTTAGCCTTATGCAATCCTGCGCCAAAGCCGAGGGCTCCAGCGCCGAGGGCTCCAGCGCCGAGGGCTCCGGCACCTAGAGCTCCAGCACCTAAGGCTCCGGCACCCAGGGCTCCAGCACCGAGAAGAGCAGCACCACCGAAGAGAGCCTTTCCCACAACCGGCGCTCTTTTGTTGCGCGACTGCGTCTCGGCCACCTCGCCTGATACCGTTTCAGGTTTCAGCGGCGCGACTTCCGATGATGCCGCAGGTGCTATCAACGTTTGTTGCGGACCCTGACCGACGGCTTCGGATTCCGCTTGAGCGTAGACTACAGCTAGCACGGCAGCTAGCATTACAATGCACCTCATCGCCATCTGAAAGAAGATAAAAATAACTATTATATTAGAAAGAATAAAATGCTAGAGCAATTTAAAGCTTAAGATTATTTCAGTCAGAAAAGGAATTTTGAATATACAGTATTAAATATTGAATATTGAACATGAATCAATTCATGTATTGTATTGTAGTTTCAATATTATTAGGATTATAAACCTACACCTAATGTACTAGATTTATTTTATATTCATTAATTTTAATATCATATTTGCATATTAATTAATCTGAAAAACTCCATAATTCTATATTGTAAATTTGTGCAAAAATCTGACATTTTAAATATTTTTATTTGCCATATAAATTTTATTATTTTATTTATTAATTTGTTAATTTTAATATTAGACGTGTTTAACGATTTAAAGAATTCTCAAGTTTTTATAAATTAACAATTGAAAAATATTGATTGTGAATGTAAATTCTTAATTTACAACTTTTCTACAATGAGATCAACTCCAATATTTAATTATTTAATTTAGAAATTCAATTACGAAAATATTAATCTTCATGACAAATTCTTTTGTGCGATTGTTGAATTGAAAATTTTAACAATAATTTTAAATAGAACAAAATATATGCATGTTGTATTTATGTCATGGTAAAATATGTTGAAAGAGAATTTTTTGTAACTTTGAACACTTAAAACTTTAAAATGATAGAGCACTTTGAGAATTGGAAATCTTATTCATCATCATAAAATTATAGCGAACGATTTTAAATCCGTAAAAGTTATATCTTTCTGAACTATATAATTTATAATGAACTTTGCATAGACATCTTAATTATTTGCGAGATGCTTATAATTATATATTAAATATATATTTGATTTATTACATATATTTATTCTCTCTCTCTCTCTCTCTCTCTCTTATTTATACTTATGACTTTACTATTATAATTTTCACTATGTAATTGAGAACTAGATTTTGGACATGTGTTCTGTTTGAGAAAGATGACAGACGATTTATTTTATAGGCAAATCTATATCGTCACGCGGATAGTTTTTTCAACTTAACTTGACGAGAAATCTCGTCTTTTGAAAAATCGAGTAAGTATGGTTTTTGCTTCTGTATCCTTTCGTTATATGGATATGATTATGTGACCGTGTTTACGTACCTTACTGAGATCACGTTTTCGGACGAAGACTGACTCTTCTCAGAGCAGTAGGTCCAAAGACTTTTATACGACGAGATCGGACTCCGCTCCCTACCACGAGAAACTTCTACCAAAAATTCCACATTACATCTCACGTGCCCATGTTCATCTGAATACATCTTCTCGACATCTTACTTGTTGAAAGCCGCGAATTGATCGAGGACTCGTTCCCTTATACGTACTGACATTGAACCTGTCCAGTGACTCGATAGGAATTCCGAGGGATGTCCTATCGAACAGATCATCATTAACTTCCTCTCGTATATTTGAACTTTGGGCGTCGCCCATTAATTTCCAAGATCCGGTGTTATGTTTCTTGGATTACTTATTTTATTTCTTTGCGTTACATAAGTGCAATGATGAACAGGTGAATGGTGAACGGGTGAATTTTAAATGATGCGGCATTCGGTTTGTGTTGGTGATTAAAATATAAATCTTATTTCCACGGGAATAATTCTTTATGAAAAAAGATTGCTTATATACATTTTTTTTAAGAACACATATCTTTTAACATACGCTTGTTTGCATGTTTTGAATAGTATACAAACGTACATTGCAATATTGAAAATCTTTAATGTCAATTCTTATTAAATTGCAATTAAAACATAAAATTGTAATAAAATCTATATAAAATTAATATATTTTTAAAACCTTTGTTTTAATATAATCTAGAAATAAAAAAGGTTTCGAAAAAATCATCAACGAATTATTAAAACATACACTGTGAAATTTAATATATTGCTTTGTCGTGTTAATTTTTATTTCAAATTAACTGGAATGATAACGATTTTTTAAATAATAAATAAGGAGAGTCAGAAAAGCGAAAAAGCGAGGGAATTCGTTCATTCGTGAAAAATAAGCTAAGTTCGTCGCGACCTTGGTACAAACAGGTCTTGGTACGTGTCTCCATCTTTTTTACGTAATGCATAATAAATGCTAGACAGAAAATTAACATAAGAATCTACACAGGGAATTCCGGATTTCATCCGGAACATTGACGTTTTTTCTACTTTTCACTTTTCAGTATCTCTGGTTTCCACCTGGAAATGCCACGAATTAGCGTAACAGGGAGAAACGCTAAAAAAAACTCAATGTAGTCATTTATAATACTCTTAATTTTTTTATCAGAACTCAATACGCAAATGTTAATAGCATAATCGTAGATCTGCAACATTGTCATAGAATATTTCTAGCGATTTTATAGCTGTTAATCTAATAACGTAGCAAACATTTTATTTTTGAATAAAAAACCTCACTTTATTTTTGAAATTTTACTTCATAATTTTATTTCTCATTTCTTTTTTTTTCTTGTCGTTTCTTTGTACTAAATTAGAATGTCGTAATTATAATAAGATATAAAGCATACACTTTCTATCCTACTAACAATGAAGTTGCGTTCAGGATTTTAGGGAGCAATGAGCATGCATAATGCAGAGTCTAACAAGAGTGTTTTCCGTTTTACGCATGATGATCATAATGCATTATTTATTCTTCACTGAATGTTAAACAAAGATAATTATATGCATTATGCACATCATGCGTGAAATGGATTGTACCCTAGCTAAGTTTATCAATATTCGTTTACTTTTGGATATTGCAAGTATCGTTCATTACAATTATTAAGCTTTTTCTAAACTAATTCTTTATAATATTTAAAATTTTAGCAAAAAATATGGGCGTTTAGAGAGATAAAGAAGTTTTTTAACTTAGGAAAAATATTAAACAGTTAAAGTTTACATGTTATAAAATAACAAATTGAAGTTAAAAATAACTTGTTTAAAATTAACTAAATTAACAATATATCTATTACGACCGTATAAGTGTTTCACACATAACAAATAAGGAAGGCCAATGCACAGTTATAGCAGGATCTTGGTACTTCAATTATTTTCTTATGTGATTTTACATACGTATCCTAACTTCGACGAA